GCCCTGTTCCCACAGCCCGAGAACATCATGCTGCAGGACAAGGATGTCCCCAAGCCTCTGATCAAGATCATCGACTTCGGGCTGGCCCAGCAGCTGGAGGATGGCGTCACCTTCAAGAGCCTCTGTGGGACCCCCCAGTACATTGGTAGGGGGCTGGCACGTCCCTGGGGGTCCCTGCACTGCTGAGCTGCTCAGCCAGGGGTGGGGATGGCCATGCAGGCGTGCTCCTGTCCCCCTGTCCCTCCAACGTCCACCCTGGCTCTGTGTTTGCCCCCAGCTCCTGAAGTGATCAATTATGAGCCGCTGAGCCCCGCGACAGACATGTGGTGAGCAGCCAGGACCTGGGAGGGGGCAACAGGCTGAGCTGGTGGGTGAGGAGGGACCCCCGGGTGCCACAGGGCATGGGGGGGCCCAGGGCAGCACCTGATGCCCACCTCTGCATTTCAGGAGCATTGGAGTCATCACCTACATTCTGTGAGTATGGGGCAGTGCTCCCTGTGGCTGGGGGAAACTGAGGCACAGGGACGCTGTGGGTGCCGGGGCGGCCGAGGCAGTGCCGTCCTGGCACTCAGTAGCTCTGTTGTGTCCCCACAGGCTCAGTGGCCTGTCCCCCTTCCAGGGTGAGACGGATGCTGAGACCCTCTCCAACGTTGTGGCTGGTGCCTACGAGTTCGAGGAGCGCTGCTTCAGCCAGACCTCGGAGATGGCCAAGGACTTCATCCGCCAGCTGCTGGTGAAGGAGCCAGAGTGAGGCCCCATTGCCATCCCATCCATCTCCTTCCCTTCTCCACCCCCACCTCCACCTCCGTTATCTCCACCTCCAACGTCCCCGTCTTCATCATCCCCATCCCCATCTCCATCTCATCCTGGCCCCAAACTCATCTTCATCCCCATCGCCACCTCCATCATCCCCATCTCTCTTTCCATCTCCATCCCATCCCATCCCATCCCATCCCATCCCATCCCATCCCATCCCATCCCATTCCTGTCCCCATCTCCATCCCCATCATCTCCTTCCGATCCCATCTCTATTTCCATCTCCATCTCATCCACATCTCCATCCCCCCCATCTCCACTTCCATCTGGTTCCCCTCTCTGTCCCCACCATCCTCATGCCCCGGTGGGGCCGGGACCCCCAACCCCAACCTCCCTTTGTGCCGCAGGCGCCGCATGAGCGCGGCCCAGTGCCTGCGCCACCCCTGGATCAAGGTGAGCGGCAGGGGCAGGGGCTGGCAGGGGCAGGGCCTGGCAGGGGCTGGGGCTGGCAGGGGCTGGGGCTGGCAGGGGCTGGGGCTGGCAGGGGCCTGGCAGCACGCTGGGGACACGGTGACGGTGCCACGTCCTCGTCCCCGCAGCCCCTGAGCGGGAAGCAGGCGCTGAGCCGGAGCCGTTCCTCCATCAACATGAGAAACTTCCGCAAGTTCAACGCCCGGAGGAAGTGGAAGGTGCCCGGCCGTGGCGTCCCAGCACCCCGGAGTCCCCCGGGGGGGTAGATTTGGGGATCTGGGGAGGGACCCCCACCTCGGACCCCCTCCCTTTCCTGTCCCCCCGTAGCTCTCCTACAACACCGTGTCCGCCTGCAACCGCCTGCGCCGCACGCGGCCGCTCTGCCGCCTCGGCCGCGAGGACCAGGAGCTGGTGAGCCCCCGGGAGCCCCCAGATCCCACCCAGCACGGCCTGGGGAGGGGGGGGAAGGGATTTGGGGGGTCTCTCTCGATGGCGGTACCCTCCGTGCTGCAGAACCCCAGTTTTGGGCAGGAGGGGCAGAGCGTGGGGCCCCCTGTTGCTGGGATGGGATGAGGGGAGTGTGGTGGGTATGGAACTGGTGGGGTGCTGTGCTCTGCTCTGGGGGAAGTCCTGTCGCTGCCCTGCAGCCCCCCTGTGCCCCCAGCGCTGCTGTGAGAGCGACCAAGAGGAGGAGAGGAGCCCGCACACTGCTCTGCTGCGCCGGCGGAGGAACAGCTGCTCCTGAGCTCCTCCCAAAAACAACCGGGACCTCTGCGAGAGGAGCCTTGGGGGTCCCCCCATCGCCCCATCCCCGGGGGCAGGGGCACTGTCCAGCTCCTAATTCCGTGGTGTTGGAGGGTCACTGGGGCATCAGCACCCCACTCCTGCCCCCAGGTTTCGCCCAGGCCTGGGACCCTCCTCCCTGCTTTGTCCTAATGAGAAAAATAAATGTCACCTCCTCCTCCCCAATCCTCTTCTCCTACTTCCCCTTCCCCTTAAGCATGGCTCGTTACAGCCAGGCAGGTGCTGAGTGCTTCCTCCCTCACTGCTCTTCTGCGGGGACCCCAAAGCCGTGGGCTCCCGGCGCCCCACATTCACCCTGCGAGGCAGAGTGACCCTTAAATTGTCCCTTCTGCGCTGCTCCGTGGCTTGCCGGCCGCTTTCCTGGTGTCCCCCTGCTGTGGCTGGGGAAACTGAGGCAAGAGGCCGTTCTCCCTTCCCACCCACGCCGGCGCGGGGGGGCCGCCCTGTTTTCCCCCTCTCTATTTCCCAAACATGCCCCGGCCGTGGCCCTGACAGTTGTCAGGCTAAATATTTTGTGTGCGGCAGCCGAAAACAAAAGTGAAGGGGCCGCGGGCTCCGGGCAGGGTCCGTGGGCCCCCGGGCACCGGCCGGACGCGGCGAGCGGGACCCGACCCGGAGCGGCAGAGCCCGAGCAGGGACGGGGCCCGGGGGTCCCGCGGAGGATGGGGCCGAGGGCGCTGCGGACCCCGCGCCTGGGGCTGATGCTGCTGCTCCTTGGCCACCTCCCTGTGCCCCCCGTGCGGGCTCCCTCCGAAAGTAAGTGCCGGGGATGGGGAGCCCGGGCTGGGGTGCGAGTGAGTTTTGGGGTGCGGGCTGCCTGTGCTCGGGGGGCTGCAAGAGATGAACCCCGAGGCAAAGCTCTTGGGGCGTTCCCCATCTCAGTTTGCCCCCATGGCTGCACCCCCCCGGCGCTGCAGACCCCCCGTTTTGGGCAGGAGGGGCAGAGAGTGGGAGCTCCCTGTTGCTGGGATGGGCTGAGGGGAGTGGAGTGGGGGGTTTGGGCAGACGCGGGTCCCTCAGCCCCAGTGGGACGGTGGAAAATCGTCACAGGAGTGGGGAGCGCTGCTCCCTGCGCAGCTGCTGGGGTGGGAAAGCTTGGGGAGGGGGTGCCGTGCTGGGGAGGGGGCAGCTGCGGGTCCTGGGTCTCATGGCCACAACAGGGGGACAGCTGGGGGGTACGAGCAGGGTCTGTCATTTGTGCTGCCTTCCCCTCTCCCTGCCGCCCGTGCCTCAGTTTCCCCAGTCACCGAGGGGCTGTGCTGGGGGGTGGGAGCGATGGAGGAAGAGGATGAAGCACCCGAGAGGGACACACGTCACTGTCCCTGCTCCCACCTGGCACCCATGTCCTCTGTGCTGCCAGGGGCACGGGGGACCCCTCCCCTTCCAGGGGGACTTTGCAAGGGGCTGCAGCCCTCGGGGTTGGTGCTGCACTCACATCTGGACAGAGGGACAGAGGGAGGGGACAGAGGGAGGGGACAGGGCCCCCAGTGAGGGGCTGAACCTGGGGTGAGGGGCTGTGGGCAGCTGCCAGGACCACAGTGCCCACGGTTCATGACACCGAGAGGGGAAAATTGCCACCGGGCATGGGGTCACCAGGACATGGCCACGAGCCACTAGCCCAGGCTGGCAGGGACAGATGAGGGGTGAACCATGCTCATGATCCCCTCCAGGACCTGGCCCTGGTTTCTGCCTGGGGATGCTGCCAGTGGGAAGCTCTTTGCTCAGTCTGGCTCTTGTATCCCTGCCAGGATGACGAAGCAGGAGGTGCTGGGGCTCGTGCTGCCCATTGCTGGGTTTAAAAGCCCCAGGACACCCAAGGTGGGGCTGGGGCAGTGCCACATGGACACTTGTGGTGGCCTTGTGTGCCCCATTACCTGTCTGGGCACGAGGGGGAGTTGATGGGGACAACCTTGCTGGAGCTGCCGCACACTGGGTAAAGTGATTGGGGAGATCTGTGAGCACCCACAGCTGCCCCACAACTTGGGGAAGGGGAAAAGCACCCCCAGAGAGCTTCCCCCAGGGCTGGGACATGATCTGGGGCTGCCATGGGGCAGGGCAGCCTGCCAGGCCTCGTTAGCATCACTGCTGACGGATGCGCCGTGCCCCGGAGAGCCGTGGCGCGCCGGCTGCTGCCGGAGCCGCTCTCGTCTCCCCGGCCGCCCAAACCAATCCCAGCCACGCTTGACAGGCAGTGCCAGGACATGAAACCCCCAAAAATCATCTGGGGGATCCCTGGGTGGGCGTGGGGGGCAGCTGCCCCGTCCCTGCTGCTGCCCATGGGGTCCCCCTCTCGCCACCCCAGTCTGCGGCAGCATGGACATCCGCAACGATGTCTCCCAGCTGCGGAAGCTGGAGAACTGCTCCATCATCGAAGGCAACCTGCAGATCCTGCTGATGTTCACCACGGGCGCTGAGGACTTTCGGGGGCTCAGCTTCCCTCGCCTGCTCATGATCACAGAGTACCTGCTCCTTTTCCGTGTCTACGGGCTGGAGAGCCTGCGGGATCTCTTCCCCAACCTCTCCGTCATCCGCGGCACCAACCTCTTCTTCAGCTACGCCTTGGTCATCTTCGAGATGCCGCACCTGCGGGACGTGGGGCTGCACGGCCTGGGCCACATCCTCCGCGGCTCGGTGCGCATCGAGCGCAACCAGGAGCTCTGCCACCTCTCCACCATCGACTGGGGGCTGCTGCTGCCCGACACCGGGGACAGCACCTACATCGTCGGCAATAAGCCGGCTGAAGAGTGTGCCGACGTCTGCCCGGGCATCCTGGACGTGGAGAAGCCGTGCGTGCAGACCAGCGTCAACGGGCGGCTGGATTATCGCTGCTGGACCTCCAGCTACTGCCAGAAAGGTGGGTGCCGCTGGCACGGGGCCTGGCGGTGCTGCTTTTTCTGGGACGGTGCTGGTTTGCACTGTGGGGCACACTGGGAGGGCTGGGAATGGCAGGCCCGGAGGCGAGTGGCTGTGGCTCCCCTGCTGCTGGGAGCTGCTGTGCAGGCAGCACGGTGGGGTAACCAGATCCCTGCTGTATCATCCTCCGAGGAGAGGCCAGCTCCCGGCTGCTGTGTTTTCCCAGCGGCGAGGTAAATACAGGCCCCTCCTGAGCTCGTTTTCTGTAAACAGGAGAGCTGGTAATGAAATATGTACTATAAACACAGATCCTTATCAGGGCTGCAACCCCGGCGGTGGCCCCGGCCTGGCTGCGCTGGGCAGATGGGGTTCAGCATGGGCCGAGCCCCACCTTGTCCATCCATGTGTGCTGCTGTCCCTCCATGCAGCCCCTCATCCCCCTGTCCAGCTGCTCGCTCAGGCACTCATCAACCCACCTGCCTGGCCAGCCACTCATCACAAGGCTGTCCATCCGTTCCTCCATCCCTTTGGGCGCCCCTCCACCAGTGCTGCCGTGCCTCTATCCACTCCTCCATCAACCCATCCCTGCATCCCTCACTGCATACCTGCATCCTCCCCTTTCCCCCTCCATTCTTGCATCCCCACATCCCAGCGCCCCTCCTTCTGTGCCTGCATCACATTCCTCCCTTCCTCCCCCCATCCATCCCTCCCTGCGTTCCTCCATCACTGAATCCATCCCCACGTCCCTCCCTCCCTCCATCCCCCCATCTATCTCTCTACCCCACCCTCACTCCTGCTTTCCCCCAGCCCTGGAGGAGGCCAGCAGCCCCCCGAGCCCTTCCCACCTCTCTCCTCTCCCCCCCGAGGCTGGGCTCCGTGCCCACGCGCCGTGTCTCCCCTCTCAGTGTGCCCGTGCGGCGCGGGCTCGGCGTGCACGGCGGCGGGCGAGTGCTGCCACGCCGAGTGCCTGGGGGGCTGCGGCCGCCCCCACGACAGACGGGCCTGCGTCGCCTGCCGCCACTTCCACTTCAACGGGCACTGCCTGCCCTCGTGCCCGCCCCGCACCTACGAGTACGAGGGCTGGCGCTGCGTCACCGCCGAGTACTGTGCCAGCCTCCGCAAGGTCTCCGACAACCCCCGGGACGCCTCCAAGTTCGTCATCCACCAGCGGCAGTGCCTGTCCGAGTGTCCCTCGGGATACACCAGGAACGAGAGCAGGTGGGGGTGACCCCAGTGCCCCACCGCAGGCGCGGGGGTGGCACGCTGGCCGGCTCGCGTCACTGTCACCCTGCCCGCAGCATGTTCTGCCACAAGTGCGAGGGGCTGTGTCCCAAGGAGTGCAAGGTGGGCACCAAGACCATCGACTCGATGCAGGCGGCGCAGGAGCTGGGGGGCTGCACCCTCATCGAGGGGAACCTCATCCTCAACATCCGCCGGGGCTGTGAGTGCCACAGCTGGCCCCGCCAAACCCGCCGCGGGTGGGAGAGCTGCTGTGGAGGGCTGGGGCTGGAGGAAGGGGGTGTTTTCCCTTGCAGAGAGAATTATGGGGAGGTGCCTCTCTCCCTGAGCTCACAGAGTCTGTCATTCCCAGACAACCTGGCCTCGGAGCTGCAGAGCAGCCTGGGGCTCATTGAGACCATCACGGGCTTCCTGAAGATCAAACACTCCTTCGCCCTCGTCTCCTTGTCCTTCTTCAAGAACCTCAAACTGATCCGTGGTGACTCCATGGTGGATGGGTGAGGATGGTGTGGCTTTGGGGGGCACATGTGGCCCTGAAGGTGCCCTTGCCCACTGCCTCCATCCACATCTCCTCCCCCAGGAATTACACCCTGTACGTCCTGGACAACCAGAACCTGCAGCAGCTCTGGGACTGGAGCCACCACATCCTCTCCATCCCTGTGGGCAAGATGTACTTTGCATTCAATCCCAAGCTGTGCCTGGCCGAGATCTATCGCATGGAGGAGGTGACGGGCACCAAGGGCCGGCAGAACAAGGCGGAGATCAACCCCCGCACCAATGGGGACCGGGCGTCCTGTGAGTACGGGGATGGGGACAGCCAGCAGTGCCACGACCCTCTGCCTGAGCCCTGCCTCCTCCCCACAGGCAAGACCCAGACCCTGCGCTTCATCTCCAACGTCACCGAGTCCGATCGCATCTTCCTCAAGTGGGAGCGGTACCGGCCCCCCGAGTACCGGGACCTCCTCAGCTTCATTGTCTACTACAAGGAGTCGTAAGTGCTCCCTCTCGTCCCCACGGTGGAGGGCTTGGGAATGCTGCTAGCCTGCGGTGTCCTTTGTCCCTGGCGGGACCCT